TCAAGTTCGATTTCATTCAGCTCAAGGGCAGCCGAATTTACAGCATAACTCAAGGCGAGAAGGGCTATCTGTAAAAAAACCTTCGAGTTCGATTACACTCAGCTCAAGGACATATCAAATTTACAGCATAACTCAAGGCGAGAAGGGCAATCTGTCAACCAAAACCTTTGAGTTCGATTACATTCAGCTCAAGGACATATCAAATTTACAGCATAGCTCGAGACGAGAAGGACTATCTGTCAACCAAAACCTTCGAGTTCGATTACATTCAGCTCAAAGACATATCAAATTTACAGCATAACTCAAGGAGAGAAGAGTTATGTGTCAACAAATACCTTCTAGTTCGATTCAATTCAACTCAAGGGCAGGTCAAATTTATAGCATAACTCAAGGCGAGAAAGACTATCTGTTAATAAAAAATTGTAGAGTCTGATTTCATTCAGCTCGACGACACATCAACCACATGGTAGCATCGAGGAACTACTTTCCAATTGAAGTCGCGGTCTTTAAGTCAAGAAGAAGATCTGGGGTAATCTCTCAGCTTAGTGCAACATAACTCAAGGCGAGAAGGGTTATCTGTCAATGAAAACTTTCGAGTTCGATTCCATTCAGCTCAATGACGTATCAATTACTTTCCGGTTAAACTTTAAACTGAGGTTTTTAAGTCAAGAAGAAGACCTGGGTTAGCTGTGTTTTAGTGACAAAGAACTATCTCTCAGTTAAGTTTACAACATAGCTCAAGGCGAGAAGGCTTATTTGTCAACAAAAACCTTCGAGTTCAATCCCATCCAACTCGAGGGCATATCAAATGCATGGTAGCCACACTTGAGGTTGAGGTTTATAAGAGTTCACTTGGGTGGAATTGAATACAAACCGAGTCAAGGATAGAATGAAGACTACTCACGCAACCATTCCCTTTACAGATCAACATTCTGTACATCAGATTTAAGCATGTTGAAGAATCCAAGATCACGAATCAGATTCAAGAGTCATCAAAACTGACAACTAGAGATTGAGATTTCTCAAAAAATCCTAAAATAACATATTTCACATATACATTTTAGGCACACATAAGAGCATTGGATCCATAGCATTGCATATGTGCATAATTTTATAGATTCATGCTAGAGTCAATTTTAACTTCGCAGCAAAGGATATTGGACTCGAAGCAACGTAAGTTACACAAGATTTGATTTCAACTTCACAACGAATGATATCCAACTCAAAGCCAATTTGGTGAAGCAATACAACTCGAGATTGGATTTCAACTTCACAACGAAGGAGCCATCTACGATTTCAACTTCATGAAGAAGGATATCGTACCCAAAAGATTGACCTAAATTCACGACGAAGGAGTCATCTGTGACATAAAAATGAAAAATTTGTTTCATTCAGGTCAAATTTCAGCTTCACAACAAAGTATATTGGGCTAGAAGATAATCCAAGAGCTACTTCCCAATACTTTGAGCTCGGTTTCAACGTCATAATGAGGGTTATCACGCTCAAGAGATCCATGATTTCAATTTCACGATGAAGGATATCGTGTTCAGGGTTTTTAGTTCAACTCAACTTCACAACGAAGAAGTCACTCATGCTTTCAACTTCACGAAGAAGGATATCGTGCCCAATGGATCGACTTAGTGTCACAACAACCGTGTCACCCTTAGACAACCAGACCTCTTCATCACCTATGAGCAGTGCCGTCCCCCAAATCAAACACTATCAAGTCTCAAACCAAAGAGAATCGAACAAAAACTTGTTGTCTTTTTCATCTTTGTCCTATTCTTGTTAACACAAAAATGTGCAAAGAGGGACAGCTGTAGACACTCATTTTTGTCCGCGTCTACCAAAACGTTATATTATATTTTTGCTATTATTATTATTATTAATTTATATATTATAATTATTTTATGGGCCCCCCATTTCCATTGACGTTTTCTCACGAACAAACTACCCACTCAAACACTACCCAACAACAAGGGAACTTCCATTGCTTTCCCCTTCCATCGTGTCAGCCACTACTCCCACAACATCCATAACCACATTAACTTCAACTCCTCACCTCACGTCTTTTGCTTTAAACGGGGGGTCTTCTTTTTGGAATATAAATAAAGTAGGTTTCAAACTCTGCTGGAGGGGGTTTCTCTTAACCTACTCTTCTCGTCGTCGATCGACGGAGCAAGGTTGTCGGTCTTCGCACAAAGGCCTCGCGACGCAACCCCCACTCTCGGGCTGTCGTGGTACTATCGTTCCTGGTCATTTGGTAAGTAAATCATGAGTCCAAGGTCGTTTTAGCCACTTGCTTGGTTGGGGGGTTTCATATTTGAGGACTGGGTTTGGTTGGAATGTCGTGTATCACCTTCAACGGCCATGGGTGGCCACTGTCATGTATCGTTTAGGCTGTTCTGGGCCTCCACTTGGGACAACATGGTTACCGCCGCTCCACCAAGCCACCGCTGCTGCCACTGGTTCCCTCGCCGACCAGTCGTAGGGATATTTTGATTCAGAACTGGAATTATATCATTCGGTTGTTATCTGTCAAATTTGAACCAACTCGAACTAAGAGAATCGACCGAAATTTGGTCCATCCACTAAACGAGTTGACCGTGAAAAATATTACGTTCGCTGACATTAGTTATTTTGTCGAGTTTCAAGAGATCTGCGGTTAACTCGCTTTGATTGCCAATGGCGTTGAAGCGTGTGCTATCCAGTGTGGGCGTCCGCAGGAACAAAAGTTATGGATCTCAATTCCCTATCGTGATTCTCGTTCTCTTCTCAGTTCTCGCTCCGCTTGTTTTCTTTGTCGGTCGTGGACTTTATCTATCTGATCAAACTAGTGTTCAAAGTGGTTATACCAAGCAGAATGTTGATTGGAGGGAAAGACTGAAGAGAAGAAAGTTGCTCCCAATCTCACAAAAGTTCAAGCAGTGTTAAAGAAGATTAAACAAAGCCCACGTGACATAGGACTTTGGGGTAAACTCTTCCCATGGTCCTTCAATTATTATGAGTAAAATCCTTTACAGGTCCCTCTGGTTTTGACATATCCTTTATTTTCTTGTAATTCTAGTTTTGATACTTAATTCTGATTTTCATTATTTTAGTCCCCAACTGTTTTCATTCATTAATTACAGGATACGTTTGTTTCATTTCATTCCTCTTTGGACTTTATTTTTTTATTTTATTTTTTTCTGCTTTTATTTTGTTTTTATTAACTGTTATTTATTTTTGTTGCAGTTCTTTGTAAGCAAGACTACGCTTTTAATTTCTAGTTTTTTTTGTTTTTTCTTTTAAATTTTTTTCTTAACTCTAATTTTACTTTTTAGGGAATCCAATTGAATTTCAAACGATTATCAAGAGTAAACAATTCATAAATTATTATTTAAACTTTTAATTTTCGCGATTAAGACAACCGAGAAATTAAAATAGTACCGAAAGGGCAGTTCAAGGGTGTTAATCCTTTCTTGACTGTAACCGACTCCCGAGCCCGACATTTTTCTAGTAAAACACAGATCAGGTAAGATGGTGTCCGACCAACATAAATATTTTTAAAATGATCGGTGGCGACTCTAACCCATTTATTCAGGTCGAAGTCCAATTTCGGGCCCAACCGAAAGACGGCCGCGACAGGTGTAGTAGTGTTAAATATGTAAGGACTGTGAGGATGAGTAAGATTGTTAATCAAGTTCACAACCTTTATAAATGATGTATTGACCTGCAAAATGCACTTGATGATTTAACCTACATGAGTGTGAACTGTGACTATTTCAATGAGATTTATGACAAGATTTTTGGAACACTCATGAAAAATTAGACATGTGCACGACCTAAATGTGCATAATCCCGATGAATAACTATAGAAATGTACAATAAAATTAGTGAGATCTATAATTTACATAAAAAAATTATTTATTTAAAAAAATTATTTATTCATAGATTTTTTTTCACAAATGATTATGTAAATTATGTCTCATTCTTTTTAATCTTGGTTCATAGTTTAAGTATTGAACTCATATGCAATAAAATCTGAGTCTAGCCTCAATGTTTTATTTTATTGGATGTACGAGAGTATTCGAAAATATTATATTGTTTAAATAACTAACTTTTAAATTCCCTTAATGCGTCGAGTATTTATGTTGCAGTATATTATTGATTCATAAGCTTTGTACTCCATTTTTTACAACGAAAGAGCGTGTTAAATCGTGATACAACGAAATATTCTTAAGTTATATGTTTTGTATCACAATTCATTGATTTGGTGTAATATTTTCAACTAGAGTCGTAAACGAGCCAAGTTGAGCTCGAGTATTGCTGAACTCGACTTGAAAACTCTGAAATGGAGCTTGATTTGACTCGAAAACTCATGAGTCTAAAATTTTCAAGCTCGACTTGACTCGAAATCATGAAATGAAGCTCGAAAAGACTCGAAATGAAAAAAAAATCTTAAACTTTACTTGATTGATGCCTTAAACTTAAACCTGAACCTTAAGGGGATATTTGGTTCGCAGAAAATAACATTATGAAGGGGGAATAATTTTTTCCGAAGTTGCATTCCCATGTTTGGTTCATGAACTTTTCGAGCTACTTATGCGCTTTTCGAGTCGAGTATCAAGCAGGAGCGAATGCACTAAGCCCCTAGGGGGCCAAGTGCATCCCATTATTTATGAAAAATGTGAGGAAAAATAGAAAAAATAAAAAAAAAATTGCACGCCCATTATTTTTAAGAAATATATATTAAAATTTTGGACCCTCTTTAATTTTCTTGGTCCGCCAATGGTATCAAGTAGCTCGTTTTGGTTTGTTAAGAACTCGAGTCGAGCTCAAGTCGAATCTATTCGAGGCGAGCTCGAGTCGAATCCATTCGAGTAGAGTATTTTTCGATCTTTGACCAAATCGATCTCGAGTAACTCTCAATCTATCTCGTCTCATTTACTTTACTATTTTCAACATTATTAAAAGAATTTTGAAAGAAAAAGATAGATGTAAATCAGTAGAGTACATACCAGAATGAAATTGAGCTGCTTGTACTCCTCCTCTAAAAAATTGGCCTGAGAACAACACCCGAAAAGTGTATAGTTAGGCAAATAATCTTCATTTCAAAGAAGCTATATATATATGTATGTATGTGCTTGTCGAATAAGCAAATCAATGCTAATTCCATCACCTATTAAAACTCAATAATCACAAACAGGTGAAGGAAAGGAAAAACTATACTGCTTTTAATTAAATACTGTTTGCTCACATTTTTCCATGTATTATCAAGCACATCCATCTGCACCAAAGAAAATAAATAAATAAATGAGATTGATATCCTTATTTTCCTTTATTTTAAAAGCTTTCATATTATATTAGAAAAAGGTAAAAGAAGAAATAGCAAAAAAACAAAAACAATACTATCCTGTTTCCCACGAACATAGGTAAGACCATTTTCAAGGGCATCCTCTATGGCCATTAGCTCCTTGTAAGGCAACGAGGTGATATCCTCCCCTTTCAAATGCCTATGCAAAATAGTTCAACAACTCAGAAACCCAGAAAAAAAAAACAGAGATACCGGATTAATAAAATAGATGAAAAATTATATATATATATATATATAGTGACACGGTCATGGAAGTTGCTCTTGGAATTTTCAAATACTCATATATATTTTTTTGTATTTTTATTGATAAATTATTTTCGTATAAGTTGTTTTTCTAACCTAAATTCATGTGTTTGTCTTTATATATATATATATATATATATATATATATATATATACCTGAGTTCAATCTGCATGTTGTCATTCTCTTTCTTGATTCTGTCAATTTCATTGCTGAGATTCTGCATAGTTTTTTGTTTTATAACAACAAAAAAATCACAAGAAAATCATATCAAGACATGAACTTACATTAATACGTGGGTTAAATTTGTGCTTTGGATCAAGAAACCCTAGAGCTCCCATCATGAAATAGGTACATCCCTTGCTGTTTTGTGCCTTTAAACTAAATCTCATATTTTTGCGAAGAAAAGGAAGGTGGAGAATTAGCATTTAATACTGCCAGATCTGTTGATAGATGTTATATTTATCGGATAGTTTTTATTTTATCTTTTCCCTCAACAAAAGGGGGGAAAATACGATTAAATTTACATGCATGAGAGAGAAAGGCCTAGACAATTAGATCAATTATTCCCACTCGTGGTTCATTATTTTTATGTTCTTAGCAAAAAAATATATATATTTTCCATGGTAAATAATCAAAATTACCTCATGTTTAGCATCCCACAACTTCCTTCCTGAAGTCTGCTGATATTGATCCAAAATATCACCCAAACTTCAATTTATATATACAAATGGATCAATAAAAACATATGTACACGAAAATTTCAATGTATAAAAGCATAATCAATTGAAAAAAAAGGGGTGAAGAGAAAGGGAGAATAAAGGTTGATATATTACTTAGTAGAAGGGCTGCAATACTCATGCATCTTCCCTGAAGTACCAAAGATAATGAGAGAAACTTTAGCATCACAGAGAACAGTAATCTCCTTGGCTTTCTTCAAAATCCCATTCCTTCTCTTGGAATAAGTGACCAGCCTGTTGCTTGTGTTCTCAATCCTCTTGATCTCAATCTTCCCTCTCCCCATCTTTTACTCTTCTTCTTTGATTTGGCTTGTCAAAAGAATGGTGCAGAAAATGAGGTTTAAAAGACAGACAAGTCATGAGAGAGTTAAAAAGTAACAGAAGAAACATTCTATTTCAGGTTCAGAAGACAGGAAACTTTCTAAGTGTCATAGTAGGGACATGTTTGTTTCAGGGTTATTGATAAGGCCAACCCATTTGCTGCTTCTTCTTCTTCTTCTTTTTCACTTTTTTTTTTAAATATAAGTCTGTCGTTTAGCTTTTGTTGAAAGTAAATATCGATGTTTGTTAACATAGGTTTAACCATGTTAACCATCGGTTTCTATGACACTTCGTGACACTACCTAGTAATAGTATTAGTTGAAGGGAAGCATTTAGGGTTAGGGTTTTGAAATTAGACTTGATTATGAAGGCGGGTAATATAATGACAGCACGGTATCGGGTTCGATCATAGGATAATTGAGATTAATTTGTGTATTTTATTTTATAAATCACACCATTAAAAAATTCGTGTAATCAAAAATAAAAGTTAAAATTGCACTAAATATTATATATATATATATATGAAGATATTACAAAATAAAAATTAGATATTTTATTAAATAAAAAATACGTGTACATGTGTATTTAATTAATTTTGGATATTTAAACTTAATAAATCAATTGATTGTACGTATTATTCTTTCAAAAAAAGATTGTATGTATTATGTATATTTATAACTATTCTAATTTTAATATTTGAATAAAAATAATTCTAAATTTATTCTCCTTTAAAACTTTATAAATTTGTCATCTGCCATAAAATTATGCATATATCAGTTAAGTATCATTTCAATATATATTTTTTAATTTTTTCATATTTTTTAAAATAAAATATTATAATTTTTGGTATAGGCTTCTTCCTTTTTCTTTCTCTTTCTCTTTGATAGTAGGATTTTTCGAATAGTCACAAACTGTGTTTGGTAAACAGTAGTGCTAGTAATAGGCTTGGACGTATGGGTAAAGTCCCAATGAGCTCCAATGAAAAATAGGCAAACTACATATTTAATACCTAAGCTATTACTTTTGTTTCATTTTTAGTATTTAAACTTTCATTTTTTTTAAATCATAGCTAATGTTTACTTTTTTTATTTTAGTATCATGTCATTAAAAATTGGGTACATTATATCAGAGACCACACAACTATAGCCCCTTTTCATTTTAACCATCATTTTTGAATTCTTGTCAATTAGACTACCTAACTATTTAAATGTATTCAATCAGAAAACTAGCTGTTAACATTTAACGGAAGTGATAACATGTCAGTTAATAAATTTGGTATAATTACACATTTGGTCCTCGATATTTATACATTCTTTCAGTTTGGTCATAATTTTAATTCAATTTGATAAATTTAACTTCCAACTAGGTGATGACATGTGTCACTACTAGATTGGGGTATATTTTATTAATTGTAATCTATTTTATTTTCAACTTGCTCTTGGGAGATCAAACCAAAACCCACAACTCCTTTAGGGGCATGCCAAAAGCGCTAGGCTAAGTCCCTCAATTGGTATTGTATTCCAACATTTTATATATAATATGTTCTAACCAATGGTAGAGAAAAATAGGAAACTAACATGATTTTAAATGGATTTAAACTTATATATTGAGTTTTTCTATTAAAAAAATAGTAAAATTTAGATTTTAATATTTTCAAACTACCTTTATTTTTATATAATTATTATATTATTTTCAATATAATAATTTTAATTTTATTTAAAAATTATGTATAAAAATTATATATATATAAAATTATTAATTATGTTAAAAATTAAAATTAAAATTTAATTATATAAAAATAAATATAATTTAAAATCTGAATTCAAGTTTTGATAAAATTAATTTTTAAATTTTAAATTTATTTTAAAAATATTAAATTTATTTTTATACATATTAAATTTATTATCATTTTAAATATTTTAAATATTATTTTTTTTTATAAAAACAAAGCATAATTTTTAATTTTTTTAACATAATTAATAATATATATATATAATTATTAAATAAAATTAAAATTATTAACTATAGTAAAAAATAATTTGATGATATATAAAAATTGAATAAAAGTTAAAGATAGTTTAAAAATATAAAAATTTAAATTTTACTTTTTTAAAAAATGTATGTTAGTTTCTTATTTTTTTCTACCATTGGTTAGAACATATTATATATAAAATGTTGGAATACAATACCAATTGAGAGACTCAACTGAGCGGTTTTGGCATGGCCCTAAAGAGGTTGTGGGTTGTTCGTTCAATCCCCCAATAGCAAGTTGAAAATTTTCAACATTTTGTATACATGTCACCACCTGGCTGGACATAAAATAAATTAAATAATTAAAATTAATAAAATATCCCCCAATCTAGTAGTGACACATATCAACACCTAATTAGAGGTTAAATTTATCAAATTGAATTAAAATTATAATCAAATTGAAAGAATGTATAAATATCAAGGACCAAATGTGTAATTATACTAATTTTATTAATCGGCATGTCATCACTTCCGTTCAATGTTAACGACTAGTAGTCTTATTGAATGCATTTAAATAGTTGGGTGGTCTAATTAATAAGAATTCAAAAATAGTGGTTGAAATGAAATGGGGCTATAGTTGGGAGGTCTTTGGTATAGTTTACCCTTAAAAATTTAACGAGATGTGACATTTTATGGGTAAATTACATAATTTATAACTCAATTATCTTTTCACTCTTATTTTAATCACTAAATTTTAAAAAAATTTAATTTAACAACTCGATTTTTAAATTTATCATGTTTTAATCACTCTAATTTATTTTATTAATTTAGTTTTTGTTACATGCATTTTTATATTATTTTATTAGTATATAATTAAAATAAAAAAATAAATTTAAAATTATAACACAACTCATAAATCACTCACCCAACCCTAACGACCTCACTCTTATTGATCTCTCCAACTCATTCATTTTCTATTTTAATCATATATTAATAAAATAATAATTAAAAGATGTCACGTCATAGAAAATATTAATAAAATAAATCAAAGGGATTAAAATAAGAGCAATTTGAAATTTAAGTTATTAAATTAAAAAATAAACTTCAATGACCAAAATAGGAGTGAGAAGATAGTTGATTGATTCAATGATGTAATTTACCCATAAAAATTTTTAACAACAGAGTACTAAAATGAAATAAAAAAGAAATATTAGATATGATTTTAGAAAAAAAAAATGAAAGTTTAGGTACTAAAACAAAATAAAAGTGATAGTTTAGATATTAAGTTTTGATTTTTTTGGGATAATTTCATTTTATTACCCAAAGAAGCAGAGTTCTGCTACAAAAACCAATCACCAACCACAAAATCCCTACGTACAACCTACTTACAAAATAAATGATCGGTTAGTCTATGCCCCAAAAATTACAAAAAGTAATACTAACATCATCTAGTCTATTTATGTTCTTTCCTCTTAGTTGAATACCTACAATCTCCTTTATAACTTTAAGTATCTCTTCAGCAGTTCTGGAGCAACCTTGAAACACCCTTCGATTTCGTTCCTAAATATGTGCGCTCCAAGCAAGCTTTAATATAGTAGTGATAAGAGATTTACTTTTCCAAGCACCACAAGCCCAAGCTAACATGTCATCCTATGACAACGGGGTTCTCTTCAACCCGTTGAGGAATAAAATAGTCTCCCATAAAGAAAAAGCCAAGGGGCACTATAAGAACAAGTGGTCCCTTGTTTCCAACGCATCATTGCAGTTAACATAATTGCCATCGGTAGCAATCCCATTCTTTGAAGTCAATCACGAGTAGGAAGTCTGTCCAAGAGAGCCATCTAAGCAATCATATTATGTTTAGGAATGTGGAGAGGAAACCAAATCAAATTGTGCCAAGGAACTTTGTCACCCTTCACCCTTATCTCCTCCCATATATCCCTTATCCTCTTTGATCCAGTAGATAGGACTGGAAGAGCTTCAATCCTTAGTTTAAATATTCTATTTAAGTACCAACTAAAATTTACTCCTCCTTCCATGAGCCAAAAGTCATTCTCCTTTAAAACGTAGCTTTTGAGCCAAGCTACCCATAAAGATCCCTCTCCTGCAAGAATATTTCTAATAAGATTCATCATACACGCTTTATTCCATGATTTTATGTTCTTCAATCCTAGCCCTCCCTCGGAATTCGATTGACAGATTTTTGCCCAGTTAACTCTGGCTCCAGAAATAGACTTATCATATCCTTTCTAGAAGAACCGGTAGCAAAGTTGCTCAATCTTGTTAATTATAAAATGAGGCAGAATTAGTTTCCCTACACCAGTAATTAGCAACACTGAACATAACATCTCTGATTTATTTCAGTCTACCAGCATAATTCAAATGCTTTTCGGACCAGTATAGGAGCCTTGACTTGATCTTGTCTATAAGAACCTCATAATCTTTTTCAGAGAGTTTCCTACTGACTAAAGGAAATCCTAAATATCTAACATGCAAGCAACCATGATTGAAAATAGTAATTTGTAACACCCCCAACTTGTACCCAACCCGGATACGAGTCTGAGGTGTCACATTAACTTTTCAAACTTTGTCTCTTAAAGAAATCAAGGAAATTTTGAACTTTCATTATAATAAAAGTTGTTAACTTACAAAAGTTTGACCAGAATAATACAAAATTGATCAGAGCATTCATAATTAACAAATGGTTTACTTGCCAACACACTAAGTACAACAAAACACATACTTTACTAATTACTTCTGATCTAAACTTCTAGTAGTGATGTTGTCCTTGCCACTCTTATTTATGATCTTCTTGTTTCTCGGTACCTACGTGTAAATCATTTACATGCTAAGTCACAGACTTAGTGAGGCATAAAGTGAACAAATAATAAGAAAATCATGTACATATATTACTATCAATCCATTATGACATTGCAATATACATGTATATACTACACTATGACATATATAAATATGATATGTACAAATGAACATTAATGTTTTATAAGAGTTTTCATTTAATTTATCTTTGGATGCCCATGTACATTATTGAGAACATGAGGTATGTTAGTACACTGAGGTTGTGCA